CAGCATCTGCAGTTCCTACTATCTCTGATACAATTTTAACCCCACTGCGAAGCCTCGTCTAAGGATGCCTAGCCTGAAGAAGTTACCCTCCTCCCTCCGGATAAACCTCAGGGGATCTCTCTCCCTCTGCAACTCCCTCGTAATCTCTTCGGCCTTGAAACTGCTCGACCATGTCCTGAAGCAAACCAGGTACTACAGCCACCTCACCTTTCTTAGTACCTGCCTACGGAACCAGATCACCCCCAATGGACTACAGTCCACATTGAGGCCTTCCCAATTTGGCCCCAACCGTGACAATGTCTACATTCATAGCATTGAGACCCTTCAGAAGCGTTTCTCCCTGCGATTCCTGAAACACACACTCGCAGCAATGCGCCAGCATCTCCGGGCACTACAATCAAGCCTACCCCAGCTCAGAGCCTCCTTCTCCCAGACCTGCAAAGGACCTCTCCTGTTTTTTATACTTTGTAGGATCCACAACCTGAACTCACAATTCAACTCGGCTTTATTGGACACTAAAAACCGTAAGTACAGTAAACTTACTGGTGCCTACCGCCCAAAACCGGCTTCCTCCACCCCCCAAATCCCCAACCCTACCCAGGACCTTCCCCACAATGTGCCCGCTGCCATTGGCCATGAGGCCACTGTCGGGGAACCCGCAGATGACATCACATCCACCACCGCCAGGTACCCCACTTCCGGGACAGCGAACGCCATCGATGCTGATGCCACCGCCTCCATTTCCGAGACCAACACCACAGACACTGAAGACGCACCTACTGTCACCGCTGCTGTCGCCGCCTACCCCGCTCCGCCCACCGCCAATGCCGCTCCGCCCATCACCGACGCGGATGCAACTCCGCCTACAGCCTACGCCAACGCAACTCCGCCCACAGCCGATGCCGACGTCGCTCCGCCCACAACCTCCACAGCTAGCAGCTCCAGAGGAGACAGCAACACCCAGTCCTGCCGAGTCTTCACCATCCCCCCAGACCTCCCCCTTACTGAGGACGAACGGTCAGTCCTCAATAAAGGGCTCACCTTTGTCCCCCTCCACCCACACATCAACGAATACCGGTCACGTTTGGACATAGAGCAGTTTTTCCGCCGCCTCCGCGCTTACTTCTTTAACCGTGAACCTAACCCTCCCTCTACTGACCCCTTCTCCCGCCTCCAACACACCCCCTCCTCCTGGACACCACCCCAAGGCCTCCTACCCTCCCTCGACCTCTTCATCTGCATTTCTGATGAAGGGTCTAGGCCCAAAACGTCAGCCTTCCTGCTCCTATGATGCTGCTTGGCCTGCTGTGTTCATCCAGCTCTACACCTTGTTATCTCAGATTCTCCAGCATCTGCAGTTCCTACTATCTCTTAGATAAGCAGATGATTGGCATTAATTGATTTATTAATTGACTGAGCAGAAAAGAGGGGAAGAAAATGACCAGGCAGATGCAAAGGAACGGGAGGAACTGGTATGTGGAAAGAGCTGTAAGACTGAGTCATTGATAAACTCTACCCACAAAGAAAGGTGCCTTGGTTTCTGTTCCACAATGGACTTCTATTTGAGTTGAAGTTAATTCGTTTAAGAAGGTGGCCACCTTGTACCTTGTCCTTTCTAGGATCATGTCACATTTACATCCATTGGTCCTCTGTTAGACTCTCAGGTTGCAGCATTGACACCATTCTACCTGCTGAATTCACTCCTCACTCTACTGTGTTGAAGCTGAAACTCTGTATTTTAACTGCAGTCTTCCCCTCCTAAATTAAAGCTTATGTGGAATCATAGTGGCATTGAAAGAGATAATTTGATCCATCAAGTCTGTGCTCGGTCTATGTTGAGCATTCCAATCTGTCCCATTCCCTTGCTGTACTCCTGTAAACTTGCAGGTCTTGTTTTCTCAAACACCAAACCAATTCCGCAAATCCAGAATACATTTCTTCACTTAATCCTGAACCTATTGGGAAATTAGGATGATGAACCGAAACCTCGGGACCCTGTGATTGGTCGTAATAATCTGCAATCGTATCAACGTCCATGCTCTGGGGAGATTAACTTAGATTTGTGATTGATTGCTAAAATACTCTACTTCTGAAAACTCGACATTACAAATAAAAGAACGATGAGCATTTCATCTTGGATTTTAAGCAACGGCCTGAAATTTTCACGTAATCTCCATTATGTGAGCACCTTCACTGTACAGTAATTGAATTCTTAGTTACTTCTGTCTGTGTTTGCTGAACAGCCATGAGGGCTTTTGGCTTTAAGACATCATGGCACAACTTTCTGGCAGTAGAATATTTTTATATTGTTTTATTTTATATATAAGGACATTTTTAAACCATCAGGCTTGTCATGATTACACAGCACACCAGATCACTAATTTTTCTGTTCATTTTTAATGTTTCTGAAAGTTGATGCTTTCAATGAGTCAGGTCCTGGAGACTTATTGAAAATGTCAGAGGCATCTGGATCATCTGGATAGACCTGGCGTCTTAAATCTTCTGTTTCACAGAATCAGAGCAAATCTCTGTAATGACGAGATAATATAAACTTGCCAATTATAAACTTGTGCCCTGATTGTTCCAGGAT